CATATATGAATTCATAACAATTTATTATAATAAAAACATAATTTCATCACTGAATTATACTGAATTATAATTTATTATATCATTATAATTTATTATATCATGAAAATAATGTAAAAACACAATGCAATTTTATTTTGAAATTACAGAAACAAGACAGTTGGATTTTATTGATCATTTTGAATTCTGCAAATCGATTCTTCTTGTTCATACTAAAATTATGACAGTCTTTGGGTCATGAATATGAATTTATTACAACTAGATATAATTCTGCTATACACCTTATACTTCTAAAAACCAATCAATTTTCCATGTCCATGATATGTTACAAGCCTAAAAGGTGTTCCTAAAGAGAAACATACAAAATAATTTGTAAAATTGTAGCTCACGCGAGAATATATCAATATCACAGTATTATGAGCGCATCGCTCTATTTAGATACCACTTTCCGTAGGCCAACTTTCTTGGATGGCTTGAGCACAAAGAACGAGCACATTAGCGACTCATCGACGGACATCATGGCGCCGGCATTATCGAATTCGCCGCAGTAGTTCGGGGCCGAGAAGATGGTGATTAGCTGACGCTTGGCAAAGAACTCGTAGCCATCCTCGACGACCTGATGGGCGCGACAGACCAGATCGAACTTGAAGCGATGCACAAACTTGCCCACCGTGTCCGCACCGAAGGTGACGCTCACGCCGCGATCGTTGTCGCTCCAGCCCATGATCTTGGCATCCGGATCGGCCCAGAGCAGGTCGCAGAGCAGGCCCTTGTCGGGCACCTCGCAGGGGCGCTGCAGCTTGGTGATTTGCGCCATGCTGTTCAGCTCGGGACTGAGGCCGCCGTGACAGCAGAAGATCTTAGTGTCCACAATGGCCGCCACTGGCATGCAGTTGTAGCAGTCGACAAAGGTGCGCCACAGCTTGATCGTGTAGCGCCGCTTGCACTCGTCGTAGAAGCCATAGATGCGATTGATGCCAGCGCTTTCGTGATTTCCACGGAGCACAAAGAAGTTCTGCGGGAACTTGACCTTGTAGGCCAGCAGGAGGCACAACGTCTCAATCGATTGCTTGCCTCGATCAACGTAATCGCCCAGAAACAGATAGTTCGAGGCCGGCGGATAGCCGCCGTAGTCGAACATGCGCAGCAGGTCCGTAAACTGGCCATGCAAATCGCCGCAGATCTTTACTGGCGCCGAGAGCTCCAGCAGCATGGGCTGCTGGAGGAAGACATCTCTGCAGCGCAGGCAGAGCCCCCGTATGTCCGCCTCTGTGAGATGCAGCTGCTTAACGCGACGCACCTCGATAATCGTCAATATCATCTGATCAATGTTCGCCGGATCGAGCATGCCGGAGTTACGGGTCTGCTGGCCATTGTGTGGTGGTGTCGTCGCGTGTGTCATTCCGAAAGGCGCCTTTGATTCAGATACGATCGCAACTCCTTGAGCTTACGAGATTTTGACTAGGTAGCGCACAATTTGATCGATTGCAAACATATGAGATGAGTTCAGGAATCCGCTTGTGTAATTGAAATGGTAGAAAATGTGTGTTCAATGTGACAATAAATCCTGACAGATGCCGCACGGCATCCGAGCTGTTGGGATTCGGTGTGCTCAGTTTATGATTAGGGCATTGCGCTCTTTCGGCTGTGATCTGCGCTCCTTGGATGATCTCTGCTTGGATGGCCGCAGCACGTCAAACGTAATCACCAGATCCTTATCGACGCCCATTGATGCTCCGGCATTATCGAACATGCCGCAGTAATTGGGCGCCGAGAATATGGTGACCAGTTGACGTTTGGCAAAAAACTCATAGCCATCTTCGACGACCTGATGGGCCCGACAGATCAGATCAAAATCAAATTTGCGCAGGAATTTATCAATCACATCGCGTCCGAAGAGGAAACTAACCCCACGATCACTGGCCGTATAGCCGAACTTGTAAATATCCGGATCGCTCCACAACAGATCACACATGAGACCCTCCTCCGGCACGTCGGTGGGGCGAATCAGCGCATTAATGTCGTCCAACTTGGTTAGGCTTTGGCTCAAGCCGCCGTGACAACAAAAGATCCGATCCGATATTATCGCTGCCACCGGCATGCAGTTGTAGCAGTCGACAAACGTCTTCCACAGCTTGACCGTGTAGCGGCGCTTGCATTCGTCGTAGAATCCATAGACCCGATTTAGGGACTGCGACTCGTGGTTGCCGCGCAGCAGGAACACTTTATTGGGATAGATGAGCTTGAGGGACAGCAAGAGCGTTATCGTTTCCACCGAGTTCTTGCCCCGATCCACGTAGTCGCCCAGAAAGAGATATGAGGCTTCAGGCGGGTATCTGCAGTGCTCTAGCATGCGCAGCAGATCTGAGAACTGGCCATGTATATCCCCAACGACGCGCAACGGTGCCTCCACATGCAGCAGCATCGGCTCATCGAGAAACAACTGTCGTGCCGCGTGGCACAAGTTGGCGATATCCATTTCGACCAATGGCTGATGCGATTTGTTTGACCGGAACCCTTTTAGCTTCCTTATAATATCGATAACACAGTTCCTCACTTCCACTGAGAACGACGAGCCCCTGCGCCCATTGTCATAAGACTTCTTGCGGCTGTCCGATACGCGGGGAGCTGGCGCCCCCATCTTCAAGCCACCTTTAGTTTATTGTCTTCTTTTTTTTGTTTGTTTTTTGTTGTTTTTTTTTTTTTTTTTT